GGGGGGGAGGGAGAAAGCAAGCTATCAGGTCCGGGACTCCAACCATGGTCAGCCATGTGGGAATGTCCAGTGCCCTAACCACCATGCCACCTGCTGGTCCTGGGGTTTTGTCTTTCTTTTGTTTCCATTCTACCTTGCTCAGTCATGGATGAAATAAGTTTTTTTTAAAGAACTAAGGAACTTCAGAGAACGCTGAGAGCCGACTGACATGGACAGGGAAGGAGAAAGGCAGATGGGGGAGGAGGAGTGCATACATTATTCATCTAAGAAAAAGAATGGCAGAGTGAGGATTCAGGGATTCTGACTCACTTTCCAGCCCTTGGTCCATTGGCCACAACAGACATGAGGGCTGAAATTTTCTCCAAACATTTTATAGAATAGGCAAGGCACAAGGTATGAAATTTGTGGCTTCCAAGAAATGGTGTTTCACGCAGGTGAGAGGAGCTCAGAATCCCGGAACCAGCGCAAGTGGTGCCGTGCGAGGAAGAGAAGGGAGGCCTCATGTTTTCCACCTACCCCCCAACCCCGGCCCTGGCCTGTCTGAGCATGAGTGCAGGCCCTTGGTAAGCCTCACAGGGTGACTTCACGGTCCAGTGAGAAGAGCCTTGGAGGGGGGCAGGGATCCACCTCCCCCTTGGACCTCACCAGCAGCAAAGGCCTCACTCAGGGAGGACACTCAGAGCGGAGGTTCCCTATGACACTCTTCAGAGCGCTAACCCTCCCTTGTTCATTTGAGGCACACAGATGCACAGGGATTTTTAAGTAGATTTCACTAATATTTCCATATTTCCTTTTTCATTTTTTGGGGTTTTTTTTTTTTTGAGTAATTTCTCTAACCATCATTCTCTTAGGTCATCAGGAAAGTCATAACCTATTTTTCTATTTTTTCATGCAGAAATGCATTATGACTTAGCCAATGACCCGACAGTAACTGGGTGATTTCTTTAATAGACAAAACTAAACCATGCATGGTGTGGTGTGTGGTAGGTCAGAAAACAGAGTTACTTACAACTACAGCAAAGAGCTGCTGCTGGAGTACCAGGGAAGGCACAGCCAGCTGGATAAAAAGCAGACCTGTGGGCCAGCCGATGGCATGGAGGTTAAGGTGCTGGATCCCACATGGCCAACTGAGCAGTCTGAGTCCCAGACCCGGCGGTTTGAAAAATACACCAGGCACATATGCATGTGTATTTATGCCTAAAATTCCGAGAGAAAAATGGAGGACAAGGGCCATGCTTCCTAGGAGCTGATTTCTTACCTTTTCTCTTTTGGGCAAGCACACACACCCTATGGAAAAAAATCTAAAACAAACAAACGAAAAAGCAGCAGCCTTGTTTCAAAAGATCTCCAACATCTGGAGAAGGCACTGAAGCCATAGGGTGACTAAGACAACAGTCCAGGGACCGAGACGATGCAGTCAGTGTTCGAAAGAGACTAAAACAGAGGCTGGAAGTCCCCTCTGCAGCCACCTGCCTCCTCTTGAAAGCCCCCAGTGTTCTCAGGACATCTTGCCACAGCAGAAAGGGCCCTACGCAGAGGACAGTGGACCTAGTCCAGCACCACGGACTACGTGACCTGGATTTAAGCTTTGCCAAACACACAACAGGGAAGTTGGACTAGAAGGTCCTTTCTAGGTACCAAAAGATCAAAAGACCTTTGTTCTCTTGAATCTGGCTCACATCTTAGTTCTAATAGCTCTCCCCTCCACCTGCAACCAGTCTAGTAAATTAAGGCAATACTGCCATGAGCCAGCAGGAACAAAGGGGCTGACCAGAAGCCTCAGAGATGCGGCACTCAGCGACGGGGCTGTGTTCCGAGAAATGCGGCTAAGGTAAGCTGGTGGTTGCGTGAACATCACAGAGTGCACTAACACGAACCTACGATGCGTGCTACAGCCTATTACAATGGGACCAGTGCTGGATATGCGGTTTGTCGATGGCTGAACTGTCGTTATATGGTGCACGACTGTAACCCTTACCACGTGCAGTGCCCAGAAGGATCAGACTGCTCCCCGCTGCAGCTTCTGTAAGCACCACAGAGATCGCCAAATTCGCCCCAAGTCACCAAATACCTAATTACACATAATCAAGGGTACTCAGTTCTCCTAGGAACAAAATGACTCATTCTTCTCTTAAGTTAGGATTTGAATACACATATACGTATAAGTATATATGGATGTGTATATATAAAAAGTACATCAGGTGCATTGCTGTGTGCACATATATATGTGTGTGTATATATATATACATACACACACACACAATCATATTCCTGAACTGTTTTCTTTCTCTCTTTTTTTGTTTTTGAGCATATGCATTCACCAGAGAGAGAAAGACAGAAATCATGCCCCAGGGTGGATGGCCACACTGCAATCCCTTCTTCTCTAATCTCCTCCTGGAATTTTGGGCATGCACACACATGTGCTCGGACTGATTGTCAAGCTGCCGGATCCAAGGCTTGAACTACGCAAGAGTCTCTGGAGGCGGGGTCCAGCAGACTTTGTTTTGAGACTCCATGCAGGTGATTCTGACACGGGCTTAAATGTGAAGAGTGGTAACCAAGCTCCTCAGAAGCCCGCCCAAAATCAATGACAAACCAAACAAACATACCTGGCTCCAAAGATGTCCTTTTTGGCGAGATCAATTCCACAAATAACTTTTACTCTGAGAATACGGGACTCTCCCTGTTGGAGGGAAGGGAAAGGAAAAAAGAAAAAGTTAAAAACTGATCTTCGATGGATCACTCTCTCAAATTCATGATTAAAGTCAGTGAGTTTCACTCAGCCCAGTACTGGGACTCAGACCAATTCAAGTACCAGCAAGCCTTCCTCACACTGAAGTACAAAAGGCAACATCCCAGATCGAAAATTCTGTAATTCCAGAAAAATCTAGCATCCAAGTTAATTAAGGCCCAAGTTTAATTCAAACTAGGTCATTAAGATAAATTATTCCTGACATTTAAAGAAAGTGTCTCCCAGCTGTACCAAGAACACAATCAGACACATGAAACTACTTACATAAATGTGCAAGTGCAGCCAGGTACATAAATACATGCGATTCCTTTTATAAAGTCTATATATTTGTGTATGTGGCTGGGATAGAGTGAAATTTAATGTCGTAAAATACTTTCTCAAAATCACAGTGCTTTTCAAAATGATGGTATCAGTAAGCAAAAATAATTTCTTAGTTCCAGTAAAAAGAAATGAAAAGTATCATCTTAAATGAAAATCATCCCAAATTGTCTCATAAATTAGCCAACTGTTCAGCTTCTTTTTTTTATTCATTCATTATTCATCAATTTCCTCATTGATTCCAAGACTTTCTGAGCAGTTCCTATCCACTGGGCATTAAACTCGGCCTTGAATAGACAAGAGTACATCCTTGGTCTACTGGTGACAAGTAAACCAAAAGCAGAGGCCCTGTGATGGGACCATGACCAAGGGCATGGGTTAGAGAAGTGTTCAGGGCTAAGATGTTCAGGACAGATGAGCTGGCCTAGGGGAGGTGGCAGGTGGAAGTCCAGGATTGCTCAGGTTTCCAGTTTAGGTCACAAATTTAACATACACTGAAACTGAGTACTGAGTCCAAGATGTCTAGGAAACCAGATGGCAAAAGCAGATGGTTAAATGCAGATAAATGGGAGAAATATCTAGTATGAATTAGAGACTTAGGAGTTATCAGTGTAGAGTTGGTAGCTGACAGTAATTCATCAAGTTCTGCAGAAAGTTACCCAGAAAGAAGAAAAGAAAAACATCACTAGGGAAGGAACTCTTGAAAACCAAAGCACCAAGCAGCAAGAGAGAAGTCTTATGAAAGTCATCCACCTGGTGTTTGCTCAGGACCAAAGGGGAGGCGAGAAACCAAAATGATTATGCAATGTGTAAGAAGATAAAGGCAAGGCAAGATCAACGCTGGGACAGCAGGATGAGCTTCGTCAATGAGCTGCACAGATGAACTGTACTTACAAGCGATCGAAGCACACACTTGAGCTATGTACACTCCAGGATTCTCTGATCCATTCAACCTTCCTTCCAACATACACCCGAACACAAGGCTGCCCATGTGCACACGCAGTGGGGAACACAAAGATGCTAACGAGACGTTCTCAGCCTGCTTGTACTTGCCACCAATCCCTTTCCAACATGCCCTGTGTTCAAGTATAGCAGGATCTAGCATGTTGAGCAGCCCTCATGAGAGGATTAAAAGATGCAGGGCAACCCCAGACGAGGGAGAGATAATGGAAACACAGTCCCACCAGCGCGTAACCAAGTATCTACACCAAATAGAGCACCGAGCGTTTACAAAAGCACTGGGCTAGAGTGTTCTTCTGGTTCCTTCAAGCACTAAGGGGACCATCTCAATTAACTCTTGAATCTAAGGGGAATTCAAAAAATTCACGGAAGAGCAACTAAAAAAAGAGTTTTGAATGTTCTCAACACAAAGCATTGACAAGTGGTTGTGATGATGAGTATATTAATTACACAGATTTCATCACTGCATGTATTCTTGTGCCAAAACACTACAATGTACCCAAATAAACGTGTGCAATTATCTTATATTAATTAAAACATTTTATCAAAATTCAAGGAAAATTCAATTAAGTTAGAGTTTATTTGGCACAAAAAATTTTTGAGATCTAATTATAGTTTTTTTTTTCATTAATACCCATGTTCCATGAGCTTTTTGAAGGCCGCATATTCACAGGCTGCTCATCAAAGATTCTCTCCCTATCCTGAAATGTTCCATATGCAAAGGCTCTATTCTGCATTTATCTGCTGGTTAAACACTGTCGTGAATCATTTAAGACCTTCCGTGCCTGTCCTACTCAAAAGATGTCAAGGTAAAAAGCATTTTCTACACATGGATCAAAATTAGCAACACACCTGTGTGGAGTTCTTGGTACACCTGAGGAGCACTGTGGCCCACTAGTGCTGGAGCATACAAGCTGAGAATTGTGGCCTCAAAGAAACCCTTGTCGTGGTCAGCAGGTAGCATGGTAGTTAAAGGTGCTAGATTCCCACATGGCAGACCGTGGTTCAAGACCCAGACTCGGTGGCTTGCTTTCTCCTTTTCTTTTTCCCTTTCTCTCTCTCTCTCTGGTCAAATAAAAAAATAATAGTAACAAATGGAATTGAATAAATAATTCTTAAAAAAAAAAAAAAAAAGAAGCAGCCCTCATCCACCAGGCAACGGGGTTCAGACTTGAGAGGAAATGGGGAATCATTCAAAAGGGGAGGTGGATGGCACCCACCCAGGGTAGATGCTGTTGAAGGACAGCGACTTGAGACAGGAACAGAGACACAACGGTCACAGCTACTCTGCTGTCATCCTGTCATCCTGTGATGTGAGCAGACTCTGCAAGAACCCACAGAGAGCTCCTGGCCTTAGACCTCCCGAGTGAGAGCTGAATAAACCTCTATTCACTAAATGACACAGACTCAGGATTTCCTGTTATAAGCAGGACAAAGCATACTGTTTATTTCCACTGAAAACTGAAGGATGCTACAGCAGTTGGTCTGCCCCCATGCACAACATAATCTCATTTTTAAAAGATGTCAGTGACAGGCCACCAGATGGTATGGTGGTTAAGGCTCTGGACACCCACATAGTGAACATGGTTCGAGTCCCAGAACTGGTAGCTTGTTTTCTCTGTCTGTGTGTCTGTGTCTCTCTGCTGAATTTATGTGCCTTATAGCAAATTTTAAAAATAATAAATAAATAAAATTAAATAAGTAATTCTTAAAAATAATAATAATAATAATTTAAGTGACAGGGGAAAGACAGGGAAAGGATGATGTTGATGCTGATTATCTCTGGATACTGAACAACTTCTTTTTGCTTATCATTTTCATTTATCTTAATATTTTCCTTTTAAAATAGTAAATATTTTTGTTTAAAAACTTTTACATGAACTTCAGAAAATACTTAATAAAAAGAAAATGGAATCACTGGTAATGGCACCATTGAGGTTTGTCATATTTCCATGATAAACAAACCTACTTTGGTCAGGAGAAAAATAAACCTACGCGTTATTTTTTAGCCAACTCATAAACATACAGAGCCATGTATTTGGAAGTTGTGTGCAGGTTCTCTTAGGTAGGCAACAGCTGGGAGGTGAAAAGGACAGGGCCTTTATTGAGCACTTACTATTTACGAGTGGCGCTACAGGAAATTTCACTTCTCTCTGAGGTTCAAGGAGAGAGGGTGTGACTCTATAAAAATAGTTTTTATGCATGGGTTTTAGACATACAGCAAAAATTTCTTATCTTTGTTTCCTCAAAATGACCAACTTAAATATAGATAAGCAGCCATCGTCATTCTGTAAGGAAGCATGTGACAAGGCGGGGGACTCATTTATCAGATGCAATGGGCCCCAGCCAGGCAACTGTACTTTCTGAAGCGTTTTATTACTTTCATAAAAATCTATGTGTGATATTTTGATCCCTGTTTATAACTGCAGTAGAATTAAATATTTAACTTAGAGGCTTGGCTTACACAACGAAAATATTATTCATGGATTGTACGATGCAGAGAAGGAGCAGGCAGAGGAGAGGTTAGGCTAGATACAGCGTCTGGTGTCCTTCCTGTTATTAGTAATCTATTGTTCATAGAATAGTAATCTATCGATCACAGGGGGTGATCCCATGCACTTTACACACGTTTCTCTTTTCCACTTAGCTTGCTAATTCTTCATCAAGACACAGACCAAGATAAGGTGCCCAAACCACAGTGACTGCGGCATAACTAAAAAAGAATGTGTCCCAAGTCCAACTTGGAAAGCTGGACATTCTGAAGGCTCATTTGGAACTCTGGCAGGACTGCTTGCACAAATGGTGTGTGACTGGTTACTAGGTTTCAAGCCTGCCCACAGAGTGTAGGAAATGTGTGAGCCCTCAACCTTACTGTTATGTGAAATCAACTTCAAGATCCAACTCAAAACTCGAGATCCTGGAGTGTATGTTTCTCCTATGACTACCACTTAAGAAGGTGACTTGTTATCCTTTGTCTTTATTCTTCATAACGGCACCTGCTCTGCCCCCCCCAAAAAACAGATGGCTTTCCCTTCCCAGGAAGCCTTTGTGACCCCAAGTATCTCATTTACCAGATGTTCATGTGGACAAGGAAGTCCTAAGTCAAAGACGTCTATGTCTCAGTCATTTTCCCCTAATTTATATATTTACCTTCCATATTCCAAAGTATATTGATAGTTCTAACTATTACCCATAACACTTGCAAACTAGTAAATAGTCCCTGGATAGAAAGAGATAACCAGTACTTTTTAGACCACAAAAATATGTAAGTATATGTCACTAAATCTTAGTTACTTTAAAAAATAAGCTGATATATGGAAAGTGTCCACTCGGCACCTGCTACACACCAAGTATCATTAATCTTCCCATTCCTACCTGATTTTGCCCCAACTCTGAGACAGGATCCTATTTCTACTTTCTGTTAAAAATGTGTGTGTGTGTGTGTGTGTGTGTGAGTGTGTGTGTGTTTATTTATTTATTTATTTTAAAAAGAGGTTTTTTAGATTCATGGCAAGTATATTTCCTATATACCCACCCCTGGATAAAAGCCAGCTGCAGCCATTACGGGAGGTCACTCCGGAACACCTCCACTCCAAACACAGACACTCGGTCATCCCCATTATCAACACCCTGCACTAGAATGATACAATTTT